ATTCATTGTTGAGATATCCAAGTACATATGAACAATATACAATACCATAATGATGGCCAAGCTAAAATGAAAAAATATTACTCCATCTTTGGTTTCTTGACAGAAAAGCAGAGAGAAGAATTCAAAGTTTTTTGAAAGATAACCGTAGTTTATCACGCATGAGAGAGAGTATTTAACAGGGTGACCATAGTGTTGATTGACAGAGGTGGTATTGAGAATAAAGAAACGGGTGGTAGGAACAATTTATTAATCTACTAAATAATCAGGTGTGAACGTATATGGAACACTGAACCTACAAATGAACGACGCGCACTTTTTGAATACAGTTACCTGTGACCTTATACATATCATTATTTTATTACGTTATAAGATATCCCACTGTAATTAATATCACTAACATAAATAAAGTTTAAAAGCGTGCTTTATTAGTTTTTTAAACTATATTTATTTTTCACTTTTAGTTTTTTATGACTTCGCTGTCACAGTCACAGAGTGTTTATTGTCAATTATGACTATCAATAGATATCATTTCTATATTGGCAGCTAGTGTATTAATAAACTCACAACTGTGTCTTACTACTAATGATAATAAAGGCTATATACCTGGGAATATCGTCATAAAAAACCAATTAGCTACCAGTATTTGTAATCCCTTATGTATTATACATGTATATTAACTCAAAATATATTTAACCTTTAAATTTTTATATCTCATAATAAAAAATAAAAATTGTTTATATATTTATATATATATATATGCGTTACGACAGTCTAGTCTCAAGGCCATAGTAGAGAAGATACACGAGAATAATAACACGTGACGCGTGGAGAGTTACAAACTTACAACAAACATACATGAGAAACTAATATAAGCTTGTTAAAAATGTTTTCATGCAAAGATGTTAAATGTCACAGTAATTTGAATATTAATAATTTTGCAATTACTAAAATGTAAAATTTTAAACCCAATTTCCTATAATAATACAATTAATCTTCTTAGATTTTTCATAGTAAGCATGCCAAAAGAAAATTAATTGTTTTTAGTTTACTTAGTTAAAATGTTATTAAGACCAGTAATTAAAAATAAAGTTATAATAATTTTAAAATGAAAAAAAAAATTTGAAAATGCATTTTTTACATTAGAATAGTAATGATATACTTTATAAAATGTTTAAAATTGAACGGAGATTTTCAAATTTCTGATGCTGATAGATTAATTATATTTTTTTGAAGCATAAATTATCAATTTAGTCTGGAATTATTATGGTCAAATATTAAAAAAATCACATAATTGTAAAACCAGTATTTTCTCATTTTCCGTTTGCTTACGATAATTCTATTCGTTTGGACAGCTATAGCAATGTTTAAAGTAGCCTTTTGAATCTCTTTTCAAAGTCAAAAAATAATAAAAAAATTTTCAATATACAAAATTCGTTACACAAAAATTATTTTTTAGGCTGGTTTTTAATGATTATGCAAAAAAATATATTTATACATACAAAATTTTGAATATATAAGACATACATATAAAATTAAAAATATATTGTATTTTTTTTTAGTAAATATGTTGTACGGAGCTATTAGAAGTAAATTATAATTTGATTTATATTTACTTGATATTACTAAAAGTATATTATTTTAACTTATTTATTATTTAGATACCAATAGGACTTCAGTTTTTATTGGTAAGATTGGGAAATAATATTAATATACATAGAATATGTTATTTAGATCTCAATGTAGCTTAAAGTTAAACCCTAATTTGCCTTATAAATTATTTTGCTTAAAAATTTTCAATTTGACGGACAATTTAATAGTAAGCATACCAAAGGAAAGTTGATTGTCATCAGTTAAAATTTTATTTGGACCAGAAATTTCAAAATAAAGTTATTATTAATTTAAAATGAAAAAAAAAATTGAATATGCCTTTTTTTATAGTAGCACAATTTTGAGATATTTTAGTATAGGTTTAATATTTAATGGAGATTATCAAATTATTGGTGCTGAAATTAGCTATATTTAAAGATGATAGTATTTCCATAAAATTTTCAAAATCTATGAACGAAAAAACGTTATCAATATACAAAAAGTACTTTTTAGAAAGTTTTTCATGACATATTCAAAAAAATTATGTTTATTCATTTAAAAATATGATCATAGAAGTTTAAAAAATAAAAATAAACATAAAATAATTTTGTTATAGCTAATGACTTGAACGAACCTATAAGAAGTAAATGGCAATTTAATGGATTTAAAAGCACTGAATAATACTATAAATATTTTATTATTTAGATACCAATATGTATTCAGATTTTACTGGTAAGAGGGTAAAATATTATTAATTGACATAGAATTTGTTATTCGTATCTCAATATGACAATAATTCGAGGCTAATTTTTCCTACATGCATTTAAAATGAATAAATAACGGTTACACAGTGTAAGCGTAGAATACTTGGGACTAGTATAGATTATATCTGAGAGTGATTAAAATCACTATCATAAGAAACGTTTCGATTCAAATCTTTAGATAGTGTTTAATTTTAAGAAATTGGTGGATTATTCAAAAGCAAAATTCTAACTCAAAAAGAATTAAGAAAAAATTGCAAAAAAATCATTATCACAGACAATTCGTTTTTTGATAAAATTGGCAATTTAATCTAATTCAAATGTTTAAATGAATTTTTTTGACTCAAAAGAAAAAAAAAATTGAGATAATTTTAACTTTATATTCTATGCCAATTAGTTTTATATGAAGAGTGAATGTGTCAAACGTTCTATGTGCCAAAAACATATTTGTTCAGAAAACACTAAAAACGATGGTAACATGGGCATGTCTCACATAACGAACACCATCTATGAATGCAATTTTGTACAAGTAAAAAATTTAATTGACATTTGAAACACATACAAGATTGTGGCCTTTGGCACATAGAACATAAATCAGAAATAAAACAATTTTTCACTTTTTTGGCACATAAAACGTTTGACACATTCACTCTTCATATAATGTTAATGAAAATCAGTGAACCCTTTTTAATGTATATTAAAATAAATTAAAATATAATACCAAAAATTTTAACACTAAAATAGCACATTTTTGAATATGATAACCATGTTCACTATGTCTCGATATTTCTTTATTCATTGTATATTATATCACATAAGCTTTAATTTAGGATTAAATAAAAATGTCAATATTTCCGAAAATTTTCAAAAAATGATTTGAAAAAGTTAAACTTGTTTGTAAAAATTGTTCTTTTTAATTCCTCCTGTGGTCAAGTCAAATATCAAATTTTCAAAAATGTATATCATATGAAAGAAGTAAACATAAAATATTTATGAAAAAATAATTGTATTGATCGATACATTTTTCAAATAGTTATAGTAATTTAAAGTTGAAAAAATAAAATATGAAATCGAAAATTTTAAAACTAAAATTGCATGATTTTTATCTACGGCAACCATTTTCACATAAAAGATAAGTTGTCTTGACAATTTTTTGAACTTATAGTACATAATATTCGCTTTATTTTAGCATATGTTTAAAGCTCGGAGTACTTCTGGAAAATTTTCAAAACTTAAGCTGAAAAATTAAAATTTTTGTACAGAAATTGCTATTTTGAATCTTCCTTGTGGAAAAATAAAGGAATTTTTAGATAAAAAATGAAAAAAATATCGAAATTTACAGATTTTATAAATTTTAATTGCACTATTAACAGGGAACGAGTGCAAAATTTTCAATTTTTGAGCGTTATGTCTTCAACTAGATACGATCTTTTGACGTATTTTTGAGAAAAATCGATCCAGTGAGGTCTGAGAAAAAGTGACAAACAAACATAAAAAAAAAATTAACACATCATGGTAAAATTAATACCTTCTCAGCTTCACATCGAACCTAAAAAATTTGAATATGTTTTTATTATTACCTTCGTTGGATTTTTTACTGAAGGAAAGTTTATTGTCTTTAGATTACTTATTTTAAATTTTGTTAAGCCCAGTTATTTATTTATTAAAGTTATAGCAATTTTAACATAGAAAAAAAAATTGAGTGTGTATTTTTTTACAGTAGCATAGTTATAAATATTAAATAGTGATATATTTAATAAAATATTTAAAGTTGAACGGAGTTTTTCAAATATTTGATGCTGATTGGTTAAACTAAATTGTGCAATGCCGATTATATTTTTATCTTTAGTATTGGCCATTAGAGATAAGTAAACTTTTTTTTTTTTTAACTAATAAATAATATGTCCACAAATTTGTATAAGGAAAAGAAAACTCTAATATTTGGTATTTGAGCCTTATATTATATAAGATGTCTTCAGAAAATAACGGGATTTTGCGGGTTTGGAGAATCCGATTATCAAAAATATTTTTCTCATAATGTTGGAACATATGTCCCTGAAGTGTTATAAAATTTTCAGTTGAATTAATTTTTACATTGTCAGTGGCAGCCGCTAAGGTTAGATGTTTTTTTATGAGCTCGGCACCATATAAAAGTATTGGCGATTTTCATTTTCTAAAAAATATGGATCAAAGGATTTGTATCAAATTTTGCGTAAAAAATGAAATAAAATGTAACACAGTGTCTGAAATGTTAACAAAGACCTATGGTGATTCAGACATGAGTAAAACAAAACGGCTGCATATCAAAATTAAACTATTTTCAGATGGCATTATCATAATTGTCGTGACAGACATAAACGTGCAGAGTATGGACCCGCTGACTTGCCCATACCATTTAAACATTCCCGTAATTATTTTAAAAAACTATCGTAATCCCACCGCAAAGTGTAGCAAATATGATAAAACGTGTTTTTTTTAAGCATTAACTATTAAAATTTGCCTGGACAAATATTTTAAAAAATCACATTATTGTGAAATTAGTTTCCGAATGCCTACGATAAGATATTCAAAAAAATCTCGTTATACATATAAAATTTTGAACATGCAATTTTGTAAGAAAAAAAAATAAATATAAAATCTATTGTTTTTTAGCTAATGACTTGAGCGAAGCTATAAGAAGTAAATGATAATTTAATGGATTTATATGCACTAGATAATTCTAAAATATTATATTCTAACTTTTTTATGATTTAGATGTCAATATGACTAGAGATATTATTGGTAAGAGGGTAAAATGATAATAATAACCATAGAATTTCTTATTTAGATCTCAATATGATATCAAGTTCGAGGCTAATTTGTCCTACATAAATTTAAAAAATATAACGTTTGAGAATAACCAATTTATGTTTTAAAATTATTGTTTTATCTTATTAATATATATCGCATTTATTTTCAAACTATTCTATTTATACAGAATAAGTTAAAACATAGCTTATTCAGTGTTTTTTATACTTATTTCGATAGAAGTTCTCTTGTTTTTTATAAGAATAAACTTACAAAATCAGTTTAGAATTTGCATGGACAAATATTTAATAAATCACATAATTGTAAGATCAGTACCTCCTCATTTTCTGTTTTCTTACGATAGTCCTATCTGTTTGGACAGGTATAGTTATAATTAAAAAAGCCAGTATTTTTGAAAATTTTTCAAAATCTAAAAATGAAAAATGTTATTAATATATTCAATTCTTTATACAAAAATTACTTATTATGCAGGTTTTTCATGATATATACTTAATTTATACGTTTAAACATTTAACATTTTTAACACATAAGACGTCATATAAATATAATAAATATTGTACTTTTTTTTTAGTAAATTTGTTGTCCATAGCTATGAGAAGTAAATTATAATTTAATTTATATTCACTTGATATTACTAAAAGTATAATATTTTAACTTATTTATTATTTAGATACTAATAGGACTTCAGTTTTTACTGGTAAGATGGGGAAATAATATTAATATACATGGAATTTGTTATTTAGATCTCAATGTAGCTTTAAGTTAGACACTAATTTTTCTTATAAATTATTTTGCTTAAAAATTTCAAAATTGACGGATAATTTCTCAAAGTGGAAAAATGTCTTTATTGGATTTACATAGTAAGCATACCAAAGGAAAGTTTATTGTCATCAGATAAAATTTTATTTGAACCATTGATTTAAAATGAAATTATTGCAATTTTAATTGATATCTGATATTGATTAATATCAATATTACAAAACATTACTATGAGATTATTGTAACGTTACACTACAGCTTTAATACTGTTTGTCAGTTGTAAGAAAATCTGCTGGACAGCGCTGTTTGATAACTTTTATTCAAAAGACTATAAATTAATGTATTTTTTATTTAATTATATTGATAATAATGCTAGTAAACTCTTTTATGTTACATATCAGTCCAAATAGGAATTCGCAAATTAAATAAAATATTAAAATACACATTTATTCATTAAAAATTATTAAAAATAAATGATTAGTGGGCGATTGGTCTACATTACTCAGGTGGTGACGGGTAGTATAAAGTATACCTTCACAGCTTGTTATTAAGTAATGTATTTTTTTAGCAAAAAATTTACCCTCAGATGATACAAGTACTAATAAACATTAATTGTATAAAGTTATTTATAAAGTGATCAATTATGACACATGCTACATGATAAATGTAAATTACTCAAAATATTTTTGCCTTGATTGTTCCTTAAAACTACCATAGTTTTAAGCATATCTGTTCTTAAAGTTATAACTTACAATAAATACTGGATACTTGTGTATATTGATGTAAAAGATAGAATTAACATATATACAACTAGGCTCCGCCTAGCTGGGGCGGAGCCCCAGACCCGGGGCCCTTCGAGCCTTACGCGCCTTCGGCGCGTAAGCCTCTTCGGGCCGTCATCATAAGTAGGCCACTGATTCCGGTAGAAGTACCCGGCTACGCTGGGCACGATAAGTGTTTTTCAGAAAAAATATTACTTCAGAATCAGTGAAAACTATAGAAAACTATATCTAAAAATGTTATTATTAAAATCAGGAAAATTCAAAAAGAGAATATAGTAAAATGTATTGGGTATAAGGTTGAAGCCTCTTAATGAGGTATTCCCTTTAGGCCTATTCAAAAATTATTTTAGGAGGAAATTTAATATTTTTTACTTTGTTGAACATGTTATAGAAATTTTTTTGCTAAAACTAAAGTAATGATGAAAAAAAAGGACATTAGGTCCTTATATATTAGAAGTTGTCTAAAAAAATATTGATAGCGCTTGTTCAAGGAGGGGCCAATCTCTTTTAAATACACCCCTGTTATACACAAAAATTATTAATAATGTAATTATAATTATTGTGTTTATATTATAGAATAATTAAAAAAAAATTTAGCAGGTTATTATAAGTAGCACATTGTAAATTTAAATTAAAATTAATAATAAAAATAAAAATAAAAATTCAATTTTGATAAATATATTGGTAACTGCGATTTAACGATGAACATCATAGTTATCATAGATGAATCCCAATTCAACAGATAAACTCATAATCTCATACATCATATATGAGAAAAAAGAAAATTATTAACTCTGTACTTTAGTACTGTTCTTATAATGAAAATACAAACTTAAATAATTATAACGTCTTGAAATTTAAATATAACATATAACATATATGAACATATAAGGTTCATAATAAACGTATCAGCAGAAATGAATCACTGCGCATAATAAAACCATGCGCGTGGACTTTTAAAAAAAAAAAAAAAATCTCGTAAAACGGTGAAAAATGAACGGATTGAATTGATTTTTTTATCATATGTCAGGAATGTCATTGGGCGGTCTGATGAAAATTTCAAACCTTAAGTCGTAAAACGCTGGCGTCAGCGAGCGTTTTTCTCGAAAACGGTCGAAATTTTAAAACGCTCGCGGGCGAGCGGCAAAAATTTTCCGACCTTTGCCAATAATTTTCCCGGAGTCTGGTGACCGAGTACTTTCGTTGAAAAAAAAAATTTTGTAAATCCGAGCACGCTAAGTAATTTTCCCAGAAAAGCGTTTTTTTCCTTGTTCTATTATATAATAAGATATGTTTGAACAACGCTAATTCAAGTTTTATACTTTTATTTAGATGCCAATATGACTCCTCAAGAAACACGTAAGTGATTGACTAAAGTATTTTAAATTGTACATTAGATAATATTCTCTAAACAAAAATAACATATTGGGTATGTTTAGCATGGGATATTAAAATAAAATACATTTAAACATTTAAAATTTGCATAACAGATAACATTACGACTTCAGATCATACTGGTAAGAAGGGGAAATACGATTAACATTCTTAAAATAGGTTTGAACATCGATAATAAAATGTCTATATTTTTTTTAGATGACACAATGACTCCTTTAGATACAAGTAAGTACTTAAGTGGTAATACAGAAATATGTATCTAAGAAAATATTCAATAATATTATTTAATTCATTTTCAAACTATTGAATTAATACTATTGATTGTCTTGAATTACTAGCTCGTATACCGTTTAACGTCCCGTTAAAAATTTAAATCTCCTTTTTTTTTATTAATTTATAATATACACGCTCCTTGAGAAGAGTGTGCATGCTCTTCTCAATAGACACTTTCAAAAAAATTAAACAATTCTGATTTTTCATTTGATTTAATTGCCAAGGTATTCAGTTATTAGTAATTTTTTTTTCATAATTTATATTGTGTTATTCAAGAAGTTATATATTGATTACATTGTTTTATTAGTAAAATTATTTTTTCTATTTATATTATCATTATTTATCTTGTTTACTACTGTTTTGCAAAGATATAATTTATTATTTAAACATAAGTATACATAATTTTAACATGCAAAGGATAAGTTTAAACATCGCTAATTTAATGTTCAATTTATTTGTTTAGATGACAATACGATTCCTCAAGATACAAGTACTTAACAAAAAAACTTTAAATTATACATTAAATAATTTTTTTTAATTCGTTTTGGAAAAATTATAATATTTGTAAATAATTCCATTATAAAAATATTACCTACGCAGTTAAAAAAAATTATATAATTAATTTTTGGATTACTTATACAATTTTACATAGTGCATATTAATTAAATTTATTGTTTTTTACTATAATTTTAAGTTTTACATAAAAATACCAGTGTTAATTTATTTTATTTTGTTTAATTAGGTGAAGATTAGGAAATACAACTCAAATGTCAAATTCAAAATGATAATATTTCATAATATTAATTGTGTAAAAGTTATTTATGAAATAATTTTATTTTCAACCACTTTTTAATTTGTCTAAAATAATATTTTATCAAAAATATTGTATAATTATTAATTGAGTTATAATATAAAAAAAAAAATCTTAAAAAAATGTTTAAAATTGTTTATCAAGAATTTTATTTAAGTATTACAACAGTAAGATTTTGAAATAGTAATAACGTAATGATGTATAAATAATTATAAAAAAAAGAGAACGTTTAAAGAATGTTGTAATAGTATTGTTATTAAAATATTATGATTGTAAGTGGGCTTTTTCTCGTCCTGCAACACTACGTGGTTTGGCGCTTGCATAACGACTAGATATGGTAGCAATGGTCGCCACCATCCAGGCGAGGTGTCACACAGGTCCGATCCGGTAATCTATCTGATTACCGGACCATAATTGAAATTTAATTTTAGGTTAATCAATAATATAAATTGAATTAATATGTCGTTAAATATAATTGATTATAACACCTTGCTTCAATTCTCTTTATAACGCGGATGCAAACACAATTTAAGCAGTGATCGCTTTAATTACCAAGCACATCGTTACTGGATTAGCCACTTCGTATTCTGTCACAATATAATTAAAATGAAATAAATTTACTGTAGCAAACCTATCAACTATAACATGTATGCGCTCAGATGATTGACCACTTACTGTTAAACCTATAGTCGTTACTTCTTTGTACATTAGGCAAGTTATAGTCAACAATAAGAAATATTTCAATGTTTTCTCCAAATTTAACTAAAACATATTTTACGAAATTAACCTGATAAGTGTATTTATCAAATGAACTATTTGGAGGTAAATACACCAAACCCATTATAAGTTTCTTAGCATGAGTAAGTTTAATAGAAATACATAGCTGTACCACGTTATTACATTATATAGGAATTAAATCACAATTATGTTTTTTATTTATACGGATCATAACACAACCATCTCTTTTATATGAATTATTAAAACTGTTACCATCATAACGATAAACATTAAAACGATCAAAGCCATGTTTAGAGTTAAAAAAGTCATCATTCAACCATATTTCAGTAAACACTATATTTAATACAGTAGATTTAATTATTGTTCTTATCCCCCTTAAATTTTGATAGTATCTTTTTAAATATTTACGTTTATTATTATAAACAGAAAACAAATTTATATTATTTACATTAAAAATACAAGTCGATCTAGAAGTTTTTTCTTGATAATTGAGCTAAACCAATGCCATTTTTAATGAACAAGTTATATTCTGCATTGGATTTTTTTTCACAAATAATACATTTTAAATCATTAAGTATTTTTCGCTGGTGCTGTATCATATCAGAGAAAATGTTTAGTTTATTCTATTTGAAACTGTTTCGTAGATTACATTTACATTTAATAAAGCATGAACTTTATTAGCGTTTTTAAACTTGACTAAAACTGGTCTAGGCTTGGTGCTAAATTTACCTAATCATATACTCATAGAGATTTTAACACATATGAAAATTGACTCATGATATTTTGTTCATGAGTTTTATTGACATTATCAGAGATATTGTACAACAAAACATTACGACTTTAAGCTATTCTATCTTGCGATTCGTCAAGTATATCAACGTGATATAGTGATGTGTGTGTCGGAAGGTCTATTATTGATTATTTTTACATATAGATTCTCAATATCACGTTTTAGGTTAACATTTTATATTTTCAATAATAAAACATCAGCTTATAAACTATCCATCTTCTACAATATGGTTTCAAATTTTTTTTCATATTGTGATAGAGTGTTTTGAATGTTTGATAATTTTGAATCTTTTGTTACACTGCATAGTTTTTTAATAATTCAACACGTCAGAAATACGGATTTCGATGTAATAAGGAATGACAGATTTATTTATGAGTGTATCATTTTTAACATTTACACAAGTCATAAAAAAAATTAAAAATTATCTATTAAACTTGAACTCAATGATTAATTGTATATATTAACACGGAAAAAAATGATTTTAGTATGGTAAATGGTTAGAAATACTATGGTTAGGAGAACATATTATAGTATTTACAACTGACTTTGTCAGTAATTCTACCCAGTTACGTATGGCTGGATCAGCCAAATTAATTTAGTTATTATACATGGTTATTTTTAACTAAGTATTTAGTTAGAGCAACTATATAGTATAGGTAATACACCCATATTATTATGGATAACTGAATATGTTAATTAATGCACTATTCGGTTTTGTTTGTATAATAATTGCACAAGGATATTATTTTAAATCTGTGAGTAATTAAGTAGGTTATCCTGCATACAGAAATTTAATTCTTTATATAAAATGACTATTATAGTTACAATTGGTACAAATATTTAAGTTAAGTTATAAAATTTAAAAATTTTAATATTTAATTTGTATTAGAAATATTACGTGAAAAAAATTAGTAAATTATTTTAATTTATTTTATTTTATCAAATTTTAAATCCTAATATCTTAAAAAATGAAAATTTAACATTTGAAATATTTAATATTAATAGTAGTATTAAAATATCCGTTAATTTTCTTAATAACAAGAAAAATGATTATATCTGTTTTGTATTTTAATTTATTAATATAATTTACTATACAAGATTACAATTTATATTATATCATTTAAATAATCTTAAAAAAATTTCGGAGAAAAAACAAAAAAAAAAAGGTAGCACAGTGAGGTCGCGGTAAAGTATGGACGTAGCATAGTTTGGACAAGTATAGATGATAACTGACAGTGATAAAAATAACTATCATAATGATATGCAAATCTGTAGATAGTGTAAATTTTAAGAATTTGGTAGATTATTTCAAAGCAACAATAACTCTTATTCCTTTAATTTTATCCCGATTAGTTATTTGATTTATAATTATAATATATGAATTATAATAATTAAATTTAGTATGAAATTGATATTCAATAATATATTGTAATTATTACGGAGTTATTATAAAAATAATAAAGTAGTTGTATATTTCTTTACTTTTAACGCGTATAAAAATTTAAAGGGATTGATGCAATACTTTTCAATAAAAATATTTGATACTTTTAACAAAGTTATAAGTTTTATACACTGGACTACAAGGAACTTTTATCAAAAACAAAAATATACTTTTCTAAATCAACTTTTTGCAATGTTTTCAAATCTGCAATTAATCTTTTTCTATCATTTCTAATTTTTGATACTATTACTAATTACACATAAAATAATAAATAAATAAAAAAAAATTGTTTTTAAAATTATTACTGATTTTGATTTTTAATATGTTAAATGTAATCAGTGCAAAATATCATTTTTAACCTATTTTTTGGTTTTTTAAAGTTGTTTTTTGTGAAAGTTTATAGTAAAAATACACTGGACTACAAAGAACTTTCATCAGAAACATAAATATAATTTTCTAAATCAATTTTTCGCGATGTTTTCAAATTTGCAATTAGATTTTTTCTATCGCAAATTTTTAAAGTACACCAAAAATTTTATAGTTAAAATTAATATACAGTCAGGAAATTTTGTAATTATTATTTACAATATATTTATCAGAAAAGCTCAATATTATTTTGCATTTTTATTGTAATAGAACACTTAAATAGAAATTATAGTAATAATTTCTAAGTAACTTTTGGTGTTTAAAAAGATTATACAATTGAAATATTCAGAACATTATTCATTTTAATGATTTACTTTAACTAAAAAACCAATCATAATGATGCTAAAAAAATCTACTCAATTGAGTGTATTAGTTGTGATAATTTGATATATCGTTGAAAAAGTTGGTTAAGTGAGAGCTGAGAAAATAAATGAGGACTATAAAAAAAAATCATATAGTAAAAAAACTTTAATAAGAATAAAAAATTTCTTCTCACAAGGAGAAACTACAGTGATGGGATCTTGATCTTTATTGAAGTTATTGAATCTAAATAATAAAAATCAAAGGAGTTGAAAATTTATTCTAACTTAAAAATAATTAAGAAAAAAAATTGATTATTATTGTAAAAATCCATTGTTAAATTCAGGTAAAACTAAAAATAATTTTTTTTTTAATGATTTATGTAGCAACATATTATCAAAAAATTTGGAATATTAATAACTAGTAGTAACACACACAAATAGAGTTAAGAAATTAATAAACTATAGAGTAAAATTATTTATTTTTGTAGTTGAGAACCTAATTTGACAATAAATACTTTTAAAATGTAGGTAAGAGTTGAGAGCGCGTAAGTGATACGACGTTCGACGTATACATGGGCTGAAAAATAATGGCAATTTAAGCTAATTCAAATTTCAAAGTTATTTTTCTCGACTTAAAAGAAGCAAAAATATTTAAATAAGTTTAATTTTCTATGCTTTGTCAATTAAACTTATATAATATTTATGAAAATCAATGAATTCCACTTGTCAGGTATTTTAAAATAAAATAAATTACAAAACCTAGAATTTGAACATAAAAATAGCATATTTTTGAATACGGTAGTCATTTTCTCCATGATGACAAGTCCAGAGGTCAATTTTTTTTATTTAAATGAAAGTACAAGTATATTACATAAGCATTAATTTAAGATATGTATAAAAGTGTCAGTCTTTCAGGAACATTTTCAAGAGTTAAGTTGAAAAAGTTAATATTTTATGCAAAAATTGCCATATTGAAACCTTCCCTATAGCCAGGTAAAGGGTCAAATGTTCACAAAAATATATCAAATGATAGTAAAATACCTAAGGTATCTATAAAAAAAAAATTATATTTATTTGTTCATTTTTAAAAAAGTTATTGCAGTTTTAAGAAAAAAAAGTGGAAAAATGTCGAAAATTACCGATTTTTTAAATTGTAATATTTTTGAGAATTTCTCCCATTTACGGCGAACGAGATAATTGTTCTCAATTTTTGAGGGTAATGTCTTCGACTAGATACATTTTCTATTGTTCATAAAAATCGGTCCAGTGAGAGCTGAGATTGAGTGGTAATAGACAAAAAAAAAACTATCATAGTAATATTAATACCTCATCGCGTCGAAGCTAAAAATTATAACACAACCAATCTTCACCTAAAATGTAAAAAGTGTTAGTTTTTTTTTTAACTCAGAATTGGAGTAAAAACAAGAAATTATGTAAATTAAATCTTTAGCAATCAGAGCACGAATCATTTCATTTAAATCAGTAGAGAAGTATATATAAAAGAATAAAATAATTTAAATAAGATTTAGTAATAAACCTAAATAAATTATTTTGACTAGACTGACCGTGTAAATTTATTTCAAAACCTAACAAAATTAGTGCTTTTTTGTCTAAGTAATTTCTTAGTAAGGAGTCCCAATTCACTACTAATATCTTTATAATCT